CTTATCTCCAGTTTGATATTCAATATGATTCATTTGTTTTAATTTGTTTTCAATTTTATGTTTGCTTTCCTTTTTGATTTAAATTTTTTGGAATATTTACATGGTTGAAAGTTGAACACCATAGTCCAGTGTGTGCTCAGGGCTCCTGCTTCCCTTATCCCCGCGGGCTCCACCCCCTGCCCAGCCCCCTAACGGTAACCAGACTTTTCGTTTCTGGCTGATCCTTCCAGTGTTTTTATTGATTTGTTTTTTCAAAAATAAGCAAACATTTACATTTTATTTTCCCTGTTTTCTAATTCAGTGATAACGTACCAAATACACTCTTCTGCTCCCTGCTTTTTTCAGTTAACGTCATAGCCCAAGTTTGGCTGCACAGACATCACCTGTGCCCGTTTCTAAGGTAGCTGCGTCATGCTCTGTGGGGTGGTTGTGCTGCTGTTTACTCAGCACAGCCACCCTAATAGACATTTGCATCTTTTCCAGTATTTCGCTGTCTCAGCAGTTAGTTCTTTCTGGTTCTGGAAAGGGGATTATGGAATCATAGGCTTCATTGGTATTGATAGACACTGCCCCACACCTTGTGCCGGGTGCCGCCGCCTGGGACTCCACTGGCAATCCCCGGGGCTGCTGGTTTCCTCTGGCTCGCTGTCACAATGGGGCGTTAACGGCTGGTAGCTTTGCAGTCCCATAGATGTGAAGTCCATCTTATTGCAGTTTTTTTGTTTTGTTTTGTTTGAAATGAAGTCTTACTCTGTTGCCCAAGCTGGAGTGCAGTGGCGCAACCTTGGCACACTGCAACCTCCACCTCCTGGGTTCAGGTGACTCTCCTGCCGCAGCCTCCTGAGTAGCTGGGATTACAGGCAGGAGCCACCATGCCCAGCTAATTTTTGTATTTTTAGTAGAGACGAGGTTTCGCTATGTTGGCCAGGCTGGTCTTGAACTTCTGACCTCGTGATCCGCCCACCTTGGCCTCCCAAAGTGCTGGGATTGCAGGTGTGAGCCACCACGCCTGGCCCTTAGTGCAGTTTTAATTTGCGTTTCTTTTATGATGAGTCAAGTTGAGTATCTTTTGTATTTGTCTTTATCTCCAAACTTCTATTCATATCTTTTCCCATTATTCTATCATGTTTTTAGTCTATTTCATCTTCTGTTCTGGGGAGCTCTTATTAGGGAGAAGAACCTTCGTGATACAGTAATAATTGCAAATGTGTTTTCCTACTTTTCATTTGTCTTTTTACTTTGCTTATGGTGGGCTTTGCTATATAAAAGGGTTTTTAAAAATGTAGTCGAATGTATCAGTCTTTTCTTGCTTCTGAATTATTGAGTCATAGACAGAAAGGCTTTCTCCTCTCCCGCTTTACAGAGCGATTTAGGCTCATGTTCTTGGACTTGCAGGTTTTGTTTATGCTTAGACATAAACACAAAAATAAAAAAAGTGGTAAACTTTTTTTCAGAAATTTTATTTTTTTATTTTTTTGTCTCCCATGTCTATCCTGCAGACCCCATGCCTGTTGATAAAAACCTGTCTGTTTTCTGGTGACTTGAGAGCCACCATCATCATGGACCAACATTCTTCATGCATTTGGGGTTATTTCTGTATTTTCTAATTTGTTCCATTAGACTTGGCCCAAATTGTTTCTGTTAAGGGCCAGCTAGTAAATATTTTAGGCTTCCTGGGCCGCTTGTGTTGTCTGTCACATTTTCTTCTTTTTGTTTACAACTCATTAAAAACATAAAAACGATTTCTTATATCTGTGCTGAGCTTGGCCTCGATCTGCGGTTTGCGTCCTCTGCACTAGGCTGTGTCTGTGGTCACTGGGACTGTGCCTTCAGTCAGAGCCTCTTTCATTGCCTGAATTTCTAGCAAGCTGAGCTCTCACCACGTTGATCTTCCTTGCAGGGTTTTCCTGGGTATTCTTGCTTATTTAGTTTTTCATAAGGACTTTTTAGGATCCTTGTGGGCATTCCATCACATGGGGAGAATTTACACCCAAGAGCTAGGAGATGATGGTCCCGGAGAAGACTGCCTTTCCATCTGTTCATTTCCACTGTGCGTCTTTCTGAAGAGTTTTAAAGTTTATGTCATATGGGTTTTGCTTTCTATTTGATTAAATTTTGTGTTTATCTTTACTGTCCTCTCATTTCTCCTTGATTTTTGGTATACTTTACTATTTCCCTATTTTTTTTTTTTTGAGCTGCTTAATTCATTTATCTTAATTCTTTGTTTATATGGATATACAGGATTCAAGGCTATGAATTTTCCTGTGATTACTGCCTTATGATTGTTGATACTAATAAGTAGTGTTTTCATTATTATTACTGTTTCCAGAAAATCTTTTTCGATTGTGTTTGCCCTTTGACAGAAAGTTATTTATTGGCAAATTTGTTTCTTAAAAAATTTTACCTGTTTTCGTTGTTTTTGTTTCTTTTTTGAGACTGGGTCTTGCTCTGTAGCCCAGGCTGGAGTGCAGTGGCGCGATCTCAGCTCACTGCAACCTCCATCTCCTGTATTCAAGCGATGGGCCTCAGCCTCATGAGTAGCTGGAACTACAGGCATGCACCACTATGCCTAGGCGACTTTTGTGTGTTTTGTAGAGATGGGGTTTCGCCATGTTGCCCAGGCTAGTGTATTAATTTCTAGTTTATTGCATTATGTTCAGAGAATATTATTTGTATTATTTCTACTTTATGGAGTGTAGTTTTTTGTGGCCTAATATATGGTTAGTTTATATTAATGTTCCAAATACACTTGAAAAGTTGTTTTCTCTGTCACTGGGGTGCTGCGTTAAGATGAATCCCTGCACCCCACATCCCTGCCACCGTGGGAGTTGGCTACTCTGGTCTTCTAGATTGTTACTCATTCGTCATTGCCTGGATCTGCCTTTGAATGGAGAGTGGTTAGTTTCTACCATTACTATGTTTTCTGTTTCCTCAACCCCAGAAGCAGTGAGGATTCTATCCAGGATGGGGCACGGTGTTTGTGACGGGGGGCGCAGGAGGTGGGCTTGGGGAGGACAGGGCCACTGCCCCGGTAGTCCTCTTAGTTCAGTTGGAGGCCAGCTTCCTTTACTTCTGAGTGGGATGGAAATGACATAGGGTGGACTGTGGGGTGCTTAGACCTCAGGGGTGGCCACGGAGGAGCCTCTTGTCCCAGCTAGACAGGGAGGGGAAAGGTCTGAGGCTGCGGTGGGGAGAGTTGGGAGGCTGGTCAGAGGAGCCCAGACCAGGATGGCCCCTTGCCTAGCATGCGCCGCCCCCTGCCGCCCACTCCAAGAGCTCTCAGCATGCTGTCAGCTCTGGGATCAGTGTCTCTGTCCTTGAGACCCTGAGCTCCTTAAGGGTGGGGCCCTGCTTGTCCAGTTCTCCCAGCACTACCCTGTGCAGGGCCTCCCGCATGGCGGGGGCGCAGTCATTTATTTGCTGAGTGAATGAATTAATGGTGGCATTGAAAGGCCCTGGCAGTACTGGGGTATAGTGGTGATGGAGCAGGGGCCGGCCCAGCAGGACGTTGGAAGGAGCTCCCCGGGAGACAAAACAGAGGGTCCCGTTGGGTCAAGTGCCTAGAGCTCTAGGAGGATCTGTGACATGGGAGAGGCTGAGGTAGGGTTGCAGCGTACCCAGGGTATCACTGGGGAGTTGGCCTGCAAAGGCGTGGCCAGTATGGAGGGAGGTCTTGGGCAACTCCTTCCTCTGCAGCCCAGGTCAGTGCAGGTCATGCCCTGAGCCAGGCTTTGGTGCTCATGGGTCTTTGTTCCAGGGCCTGCTGCCCCTGCAAGAAGTGCCACCAGGCTCCCATCTGTGCATGGGTGTGTCCTGATCTCTCACTAGATGCCACAGTCCAGGATAGGTGGGGCCAGGGCAGGGGTGGGGGCCGTGTGGCTGATCATCTCTGAGGTGCCACACTGGGGACATGCCTGCCCTTGGGTGATGTTAATTGCCATCTCCTCCTTGGTCTTCGTCCGGATTCCTTACTTGCCTTTCTTCCCAAGATGCCCCCGTGAGCTCCTGCTGTGGCCAGTGCCGGGCCTGAGCAGTGGGTCTTTGCTCCACCTCCTTGGGGCCCACCCTGGGCCCTACACTTTTCACTCCCCCTCAGTCCCCTGTCCTGACACATTGTGCTCACTCCTTGTCCTTTGGTCTTGAGAAGTGCGGATGGGATCCTGTGGGGCTTGAGGTGGCTGGAGCCTGGGTGGAGGGGACCTGTGGCCAAGTTTCAGCCTGGCTTGGGGCCTGGCACTGGAGGTGCTGAGTAAACATTCGCTCCTTCCTCTGCGCACTGGGGGCTGCGGGGATGTTGTCGCCATTATCGATAGGAAGAGAGATAATGTTGCTTTGAAATTCCTCCCAGCATTGCTGCTCCTCGAGCTTTAACTAAAGATGGCTCCAATGGCATTTGTGTCCATTTAGAATGAATGATAATGCCACTTCAGAGAGATGAAGGCAGGGGCCGCAGTCCGGTTCCCATCTCTTAGCCTGATGCCCAGGGCATACCCCACAGGAGGAGCCCGGGATACCCATGGGGCAGGTGCAGCCCTGCTTCAGGGCCAGGAGAGGGGCTGCTGGCTGCCCCACACATTAGTTCTAAGCCTGATGTCGGTTTGAGCTCTGCCTGTGTGTGTGAACATGCCAGTTTTGACAGCAGATGTAGACTACATTTTTTCTTAAATTCTGCGTGCCCAGAATAATAAACTCCCCAGCCAGCCTCATAAGGACATTTGTTCCCATCCATCGTAGGCTATTACAAGGACTTGCTGAAACCATAAATCTTATTTTGGGAGGAGTTGATTGTTTCTATGAGAAAGAAATGTAGTTCTTCTGAACATGACTCTTCATTCTGTTGATTTGGATATTTTATGATGTTTTTGATTAATGTGTCTATTAACTGTAGCTATGACAGAAGCAGAAATTAGTAATCATGACCAGAGCCGAAATCTCTTCCAAGTGTAAAGATGATGAATGACTCCAATTACTTTTGGCCTCCTTTGGGGCCTCTTTGACAGGGTCTCCTGGCTTCCAGCTGAGGTACATGGTGGGCCCTGGGTTCCTGAAGCCAGGTGAGCGGCGCTGCTTCGCCCACTACCTCGCCGTGCAGACCCTGCAGATCGACGTCTGGGATGGAGACTCCCTGCTGCTCATCGGATCTGCCGCCGTCCAGATGAAGGTAGTGGCTCTCCTGAAGGACAGGCACAGTGGGTGCTGCGTCCCTCATGGGACAAGTCACACTTCCAGCGTCTGTCTGCTTGGAAGGAGTGGGCGCTGTCCTGTGCAGGACTTGGTTGGCCTTCTTTGTTCACTAATTAAAAAATAGTGCTGCATTCTCTGTTTCTTAAAAGGAAAAGATGTTTCACTGTCTGAATTCTATAATGCTAGTTGTTTGCTCAGGAAGCTCTTAAGATCAAACTCAGTTATCTATTTCTCCTGCAAACTGACCTACCAGGCAGTGTCACTTCATCTCCTTCCATGTGGTAAATGTGGTGAGGGCAGGTACATCCGAGGTGGGTTGAGGATGAGTGAATGGATACGCGAATGACTGGGGCATGTAGGGTGACCTGATTCCTAAGGTCAGTGACATGTGTCATGCTTTTCTCATTCTAATGAAAATTAGAATCTCTTTTACTAATTGTTGTTTTCCATTCTCCTTGTATACTAAAACCTTAATCCATGGATTCTTTCACTCGTCCTCCCTGGGATTCTTCCCAAGCCTTCTCCATTGTGTGAAGGGGACCCCATAGCAACTCTTGGGCCAAGGCCTGGGGCCAGTTTCACACACTTCCATGGTGTCCTGAGACTTCTCCTCTCAGGCCATGGGGCGGAGCTGGGAGAGGATGTGGCATCATTTTTGCAGGCCCTGAGTCTCTGAGATTTCCCCACTTTTCTTGAGTGCCACATAGCTGCTTTCCCCCTGGATTCCTGACATGGCTGAACCCCCGGGGCTTCCTGTCTTATAGCCTCATCCTCTCCAGCAGTTGCTGACCCCTGAGAAGCGCGACTCCTCTGCTGCTTCAGCCGCACTGTGCTCTCGGGGTCGGGGGATGTGGGCGTCTGGGAGTTTTTCCAGCTGCTCTTCTCTGGTCTGCTCTTGGCTCGCTGTGTCTGACCGACTGATCCAGGCTCCATCCCCCTCCCTGTGACTTCTAGAGGAGAGGGATGCCCCCCAGGGTGGTGGGCGGTGCACAGAACATTCAGGGTGGGGTCTGCAGATGGCAGGGACTCCGCAGGGCTTGGCTGCTCTTCTCATGCCTCACCCTGGGCCTCTATTCCTATCAGGGTCATGGCATGGGCCCCGCAGGGTCATCGTGGCCCTTGCTTGTCTGTCTCCCATGCTGGCTTTGATGTCCCCAAGGCAGGACTGGGTGTTGACACCGCAGCATCTCTAGCACAGGCCTCAACCCCAGCAGGCGCTGCATGGTGGAGAGGAGTGAAGGAGGCAGGCGGTGTGGGAGGTAGAGCCGGGCCCCGCTGGGCACGTGTGGGGCGGCAGTGGCTCCCCCGTCATGCCCAGCCGAACCTTGTACCCCCCCTTTGCTGTCCCATATGGAAACAGAAGCCATTTGATCTCCTCCTACACGAAGAGCCCCTTAAACAAGTGCCATCACACTTGTTGACATAGACTTGAATCAATTACATATAAAGCTTCACTTTTCTAAAATAGAATCTTGTAGCTTTAAAACTTAGGTAGAAAACATGAAAACTGAGATGATCAGAGAGAATCCTCTTACTCCAGCTCCCAGGAGAGTTAGGATGCTCTGGTTAGCCTTTGGTGGACTTACTTTCCGCAGGCGGGGCCAGCTTTCATCTTGTTTGAGCTTTTCCTGTTGCGGGTTGCTGCGGTGGCTTTTCCTTCTGCTAATCACTGCTGTGGACTTCTTCAAGTTCAATTTTACCCCCATCTTTAGCTGATTTCCTGGGGATACTGGCCGTAACACGTTGCTACGGCGATGAGAAGAGTTTCCGCCAGGGACAGACAGCTCCTGTGCTGCCTTCAGTGTCACCCCCAGCCCAGCCCTGGGGCAGTTCTGTTTTTATCCTTGTTTCTGGTGGAGAAAACAGAGGCCCAGGATCATGCTGGTGATAATCAGGACGGAGTCTTAGCCTCATTCTGTCTCTGGAGCTTGTGCTCTTTACCATCCTCTTCTCCCCAGTGACACATTCCCGGAAGTAGAATTCTGACGGCGCCAACATGAGGGCTGCAGGCGTGCAGAGCCAGATGTGGGTTTGGCCCAAAGGCTCAGCCAGGCCTGCACTTCCTGAAGACAGACGGCACTGCGTCCCATGCCCTTGGCTTCACAGGGTGTCAGCCTTTAAGCCAGTCACCATTGGCCATTTCGATAATGATTTGGGAGGAAAATGGTGCCTTGTTGCCATTTGCATTTCCTTGCCTCCTGGAGAGGCCAACATGGTTTCTTATATTTGTTGGCTGTTCTCCAAAGGAGACTTCTCATATCTTCTCAGTCTCCCAGTGACTGAGTTTCCGGAATCATCGATGTCTATGCAGTGATCGTATGCGGTGTAGACGAATGTGGCAAAACAAGCAGGGTCTGTGGCGACCAGAAGCCCCCAGACCCACAAGGGAAGGGTCAGGTCTGGCGTCTCACTCCCAGAGACAGGCACTTTTGTTGCTGTAGAAATTGGAGAATTACAAATTCCAGAACCTCATCTGCTCCCACACTGCTGCTTATGTGAGAGGAAGCACCAGAGCAGAGAGGGCACACGGGGAAGGGTGTCCCAGCCACGCCTGGGGTGCAGCTGTGAGGCCGTTGTCATCCCCCACACGCTTCACAGCATTGGTGTTCAGGCAGAGTACTGAGCCGTCGAATCTGATCAGCAGAGGAGCCCATGGCCAGGAAAGTCCTGCTGAGGCACTGCTGGGTCTGAGGCTTCCTGCTCCCACCCTGCCCCGAGCAACCTTGGCCTGGCATGCAGATCCGGGCCAAACCCCAGCCCAGGGCTCCCGGCGGGCCCCTCATGCCCCACGGCCCCTCCCTGGGCCCCACAGGCCCCTACCCCAGCCATGCTCCCTGGCCCAGGGAGATGGGGGAGGCATCATACCCTGTACCCTGTGCCCTTGGCCTGCCTGCCTCCCCGGCCTTCTCTGCCTCCCCTGCCCTCTCTGTGCATGGCCTGTCTTCCTCCTGGAGTCTGGTTCAGGTTTCCGTCCTGGATTCCTCGCTGTCCCAGACACGCTTGGCTCAGAGTCCTTTGTGTTGCTTGGCTGCCCTCTTTCCTGCTCTTGGTTCCTGTGGAGGGGAGGGTCCTCCAGGGCAGCTGCCAGACCCACTTATGCCTTCGCAGGGCCCAGTGGTGTTTATTCAGTGGGTAAATCCAGTTATACTTTACTTAAGACTTTGTGAAAAAGACCCCAGTAATAAGGACTCTTGCTTTAAGACGTTGGCCCCTGGCTCGCCGCCCCCTCACCCCCCAGTGTGGTGCAGGGTCTTGTCCTGCTGTGCACACTCCCTCCCGTCCACAGTGGCTTTTCCTGGTGGGTTTCCAATCCTCGGGGCCGGCTCCAGCCTCTGAGCGCGCTTTTCTCCTCTGCAGCATCTCCTCCGCCAAGGCCGGCCAGCTGTGCAGGCCTCCCATGAGCTTGAGGTTGTGGCAACCGAATATGAGCAGGACACCATGGTGGTGAGTGGAGACGTGCTGGGGTTTGGCCGCGTCAAGCCCATCGGTGTCCACTCGGTGGTGAAGGGCCGGCTGCACCTGACCTTGGCCAACGTGGGTAAGAGTCCCCAGCCTTGTACCGTTTCTCCAGTGGCCGCCCAACCCCTCTGGTAGAGTGTGGGCTCCCTCGGACAAGGGCCACATCATGGGCTTCACGGGCCCAGGAAGAAACCGGCAGAATTCTCACCAGCCTGGCCATGGAGCCTGTGTCCTTGGCTGCTGAGTCTGTCCTGGAACCAGTTGTTTGCATTCTGAATTTCTCATCGGGGTTAGAGGTCATCAGTCATCGGGCTCTCCTGCATTTTGTTGTTTGGTGCCATCCCTGGAGGATCTCCAGGACAGTCCTCAAATACAGTGATCGGGTTCCGGGATAGACTTCCCTGTGTCTCATGATGGAGGACAGACAAGGGAAGTGTTCCTAACTTCCCTGCAGGCCAGGAGGAGGAGAATGGAGAGGCGCACTTCTTCTTGGCCCAGCACCATGACTTGATAGAAAATGGTGCCCCACGATTGCTCGTTAGAGGGACTGAGCAAAGCCCTGGACTTCACTCCATGTCCAGGACTATGGCGGGTGGGACACGTGGGTTGGGTGGCTCAGGAGGGTCCCACCTGAGACGTTCCAGGGGCTTTGACTGAGGCCTCTGCTGGGACAGGGGCTGCTGATGGGACGTCGAGAGACACAAGGCTGGGTGCCTGCCTGTGTGCACCTCAGGGCAGAGGACCAATGTGGGACCCTCTAGGGCCAGTGACAAGCTCACTGAACCTCCCGAGGGTCCTCTGGAACATTTGGGATTTTTCAAGGCAGAATTGAAAGCACAACAAAACTAAGCTGTGTGGTGTTTCCGAAGCTATGTCTGTCTGCATGAGATTCAGACTTCTCTGCTGTTTTATTAGGGAATTTTCCACTCCTCAGAACCCAGCCTGATTGTAAACCCCAGAGCCCCATGGGCCACATCCACCTGGCACTGGTAGCACACAGGCTGGGGCGCCGGCGGAGGGCTCGAGTGCACAGCCGTTGAGTCGGCTCGGAGGCTCTGCCTGCCTGTTTATGAATGTAGATCCGAGGTGGCCTGGAAAATAGACAATATGGACCCAGCAAAACTCAGTGAGGTTCCGGAGAAATGAATGAGCCACGTGTGGGCAGCAGGCGTTATTCAAAGGCCCACGCGCAGCTAAGGGGGGTGCAAGGAGCGTTCTGCCCCGAGACCGCGCCGGTTGTTTTTATGTTTAATTCTCCAGCTCACAAATGTGCAGTGACTCCAGGTTTTAAAATCTTATCTCCAGAAGAAAGATTGCCTCCATTATACGTTATCTCCAATTGTCATTTTCATACTTTGCCTGCAAGAGAGAGATAAGCTCATGGGAAGGGAAGGCTGAGATAGCCAGCCCGGGAGCCTCCAGCGCCCACGGGAGAGGGAGAGGTCTTAACAAAGGACAGATGCCACCCGCAGCACTCTGCGCATCAGTGCAGCGAGCCTGGCTCTCCTCCGTCAATTCCGCATTTTTTGGGGAAAAAAAGTGTTATGGCTTTTCTTTCTTCATAAAACTGGCCATTCTGTGGTACGGTAGGCTTCTCTCTGCCAGCAGCGTGGGTGCCGGCCGTGGAAGCCTGCAGGGTGACTGAGCGGGATGGAGCCCGAGCCTCGGCCTCAGCCTGGGTTCTGCTCTGGGCCGGCTGCATTCACAGTGCGTGTTCCTGTCTGAGGCCGTGCAAGGAAGCCTGTGCCATGGCTGGGGACACGGGCGTCTGCCAGCTGGACCCAGGGCCGTGGGACTCTGATGACGGGGAGAGGACTGCCCTCGTGCTTGGTGGCTGCTCCACGCAGGCCTGCTGACTTCCTTGGCAGCCTCTTTCGCGCTTTCGGTCAGCGTTTGTCGTCCAGGGACTGCAAGCACCAGATTGCTTTCTTTGGTCCCAGTGATCTTAGTTGTGGAGTAGGACAGGGGTTCGGCTGGGAGCTTGGGTGTTACTTGTGTTCTGTGGCCCTTCCTGGGGGCGGCCGGCGTCTGGAGAGATGGCCTCACAGGCCAAGCATGTGCGTTCTCATGGGATATCCTAGGAGAACTGGGTGGTGATGGACTGACGGACGGCCAGGCTGTGGGGTCACACGGTTGGCGGTGGTGGGCTTTGCTCCAGCTGCAGGGCTGCATCGGGAGCCCTGTATGTTTGCAGGGAATTCCTGCCCCTGTAGCAGATGTGTTGGTGCAGGCGTAACCTGTCTCATGGAAAGGGAAGAAAGCCTGCACTAATCTAACACCCAAGGTGTGCCCTGATGAAATGCAGTGCCTTTGCCGCTTGTCCCCTTCTTGAGTGAGCGTGCAAGTGTAAATTCAGCTTACCTGCTTTATTTTCCCATGTGCTCTAAGTATAAATATAGTAAGAGGAAATGCTCATGAAGCCCAGCAGGGTTCCGTGTCCTGCTGGTCCCACCCGCTGCAGCCATTGTCATCGTTAGGTGTCCTGCGAGCCTGAGCTCCAAGAATGCTGATCGCCTGCCCCGGGAGCTGTCTGGACCCAGCTCGGCCTTGTAACACTTTCCTTGATCTCTTAGTACTTCTCGGGGTGGTGCATAGTTCAGGCTTAAAATAGCCCAGTGCGCTCTCCAGTCAGATATGGGTGGACCAGAGGCCTTCTCGTCTGCCATTCAGGGAACCACTCGCTAGCAGATGAAGGTGGTCGAGAAAGCTGTGGAGCCTTCTGGGCTGCCCCTGGTGTGGGGTGAACCCACTGCAGCCCACAGTGAACAGAGGTGCTGGGAGGCCCCTCCTTCTTGGAGCAGGTCCTCAGGATGTGACAGAGAGCTTGCCAGGACTGCCAGCCCACGAGCTGCTGCCCCTGCCATGAATTCTCGTGGGAAGACACACGCACGCAGCAAGAAGCCAGGACAACGCTGAGCTCGTGAGTGGGAAACTGAGGCTTTGGGGCCGGTGGCACTTTCTCCCCGTAATGTGGAGGGCAGCGTGGCCCGGAGCGTGGCATCAGTGGCACTTTCTCCCCGTCATGTGGAGGGCAGCGTGGCCCGGAGCGTGGACATCAGTGGCACTTTCTCCCCGTCATGTGGAGGGCAGCATGGCCTGGAGCGTGAACATCAGTGCCGGTGCCCCCAGCTCTGGCCCTGGCACAGGCAGGCTGGGCTGGTTCAGGCTGCTGTCTTTTCCCTGCCCCAGCCTGCTTGTCTGCCGTTTTCCCACATGAATCTGGGAGGTCTTTGAGGACCCTGATCGTGGCTTCTTTGTGGTGGTATTTGCCCTTGAACCTGGTGCCGTGGTGCAGAGATTGATGAAAGCGTTGATAAGAAGCCTGAGCGCCCTTCTTATCTGGAGCCCTGTTCTCCTTGGGCTTCAGGAGATACAGCCTATGGGGCATGAACATCTATTCGTGTGAAGGAGCGCTGATCTGGGTTTCTTTCTTGGGGACGGGGATCTTGATCCTGTGACCACGAGTTTTAGGGCTAAAAACGGATTCCTGGCAGGCGAGAGGAGGGTGTTTGGGCAGAGGCTCTGCAGCCTCCACCGGGAGGGGACGGGCTTTAACTTGAGGGGAAGCTGGAGACCCCTGCAAAGCTTGTGGGAGCAGAGGTGGCCATGGCAGGCTAGCACAGGAGGAAGGGTCTAAGAGCAACAGGGAGAAGACCGAAATAGCCCTTGTTCTAGGTGCTTGTTCTCAGGAAGCCGGCTTGGAGTGAGGACTGAGTGGACGCTGTAGGTGCCGGGAGTCGGTTGGTAGCCCAAAGGTGGAAGCACAGTGCAGGGCCTACGGGGGAAGTGGAGGCTGCATCTTTGTGGGGATGTAGCAGGGACCTGGGCCAAGGGGGAGGTCAGCACGGCTGTCCTGCTGCACAGCACGGTGCTGACGTTGGGGTCAAGGAAAAAGAACAGGAGGCAGGGGATGTCAGCTACTGGGACATCGGAAGGAATGAAATTCTCCTGGAAAGAGATGGCTCGGTAAGTGCGCCACTGGCCTTTCTGGTTGCCAGCTGTGGCGTGGGAGGAGGCAGTCAGCCTTCCCATCCTTCTGGTGACGGCTGTGAGCGTGGCCATCAGAACCTGGCCTTGAGAGCTGAATTCTCAGCACAGGTGAGCAGGCAGCTTGACCCCACGTTTGCTGCCCAGTGAGCTTTCAAGCTGCCTCCAGGGAAGGCGCTGAGCCAGGGAATTCTGCATTTGTGCTCGTGCACAGATGGGAGGAGGCGGCCAATGCGCCAGTGCCTTTGCCACAGTTGCTTTCGGAGCTTCAGTTTTGAGAGAACTTACGAAGACTGAAGCAGGGACAGATGACCAAGAACAGCTCCAGCCTGCAGGAGGTGGCAGAAAGGCCAGCCCGGCTTGGACTGAGATCCAGAGAGAGAACTCAAGATGACCAAAGGAACTTAAGAATTGGGAGAATGTGAGTTCTTTGAGGGCCGCAGGGACTGTTTGCTGCTGTGTCGCCAGCATTCTATCCATCTGTGAAGTGAAGCTCTTCTAGAAGTTTTCTAGAGATTGACTCCAGGCTGTCTGTGATTGCTAAATCTAACCTCTTTCCACCACCACATCGGGGCCTTTGCCCTCAACAGCCCTTTTTGGGGGCCGGTCTGCTGTCCCACCAATGTGTTTGGTGTCACCATCTGCGATTCAGTATCGGGCTTTTGGATCCTTTCCAGAATCCAGGTGCTGTTCGCTGGGGTGTGGAGGGGCTGGACTCGGGTAGAGCAGCTCGGAGACCTGCCTGGCTCCCTTGGGAGGACGGGCGCTCCCTTTCCAGCCTCAGCTCAGAACCATTCTAGAGAGACACCTCCGTCAGCTCCGGTTTTGTCACCGGGAGAACCTGGGTTGGATGGAGGATGTGGCACCTCTGCAGGCGCCTGCGCGTGGGCATGCTCCCAGCACTGGGCTTGTCCTTGGAAACAGCAGCTCCTGATGGGCAAGAGGGGAGGGAACCTGATGCAGCAGGTGGATCTGCCAAGGCTGAGGAGGGACCTGGCCAGTGTGGAAGCCCCTCCCTCCCCTGGGGCTGAGGGTGGGCAGAAGCGAAGGGATGCAGAGAGGCAGGCAGCCTGGAGAAGGGGTTCCCGCTTTTAACAGCTCCCAGGAAAATGGTGAGGACATCCCAGGCTCGAGGACACTCAACAGTGCCTCGTCGGAATTAAGGAGATTGATGACACAAGCATTTTGCACGCACCCTAGGTGCTTCATTTTGGGACACAGCTTCGTTGGCGGTGCTCTGCCTCACCCCTTGGGGAGGTAAAGGCCACACTGAGGTTGTGGGTCCCATCCTCGCAGGAGAGTGTACCGTGGGCAAGCACGGCTTTCCCTAGGATACTCAGGTTTGCAAGTTCGCAGGGCACCACACCCACCAGCCACAAGACACGCTTGTCCCGAGGCCACACTGCTTGCTGTCCAAAGGCTTCTGTTATGAACACAGCTCTGGTGAAGGCTCCAGTTTGTGGGGACTCTTTCACCCTGGGTGTGTGTGGAGTCAGACATTTGCACGTGTAAATGTACTCTCCTTGAACAATGTGGCCATCAAGAGGCTGAGGTTACAGTTTGTGAGGCAGCCCACCTTGCGACCCAGAGATCCAGAAGTAAGAATCCGTGTGCAGTGAACTGTGAGTGCCACACGCTTTCATTCATCACCAGGAAACAGAGGCTGTTGCTGACATGGCAGAAGAATGAAGACCCAGCAGAAAGTTCACAGCAGAACGAGCTCTCACCTGTCTCTTAGTTGCAAAACATTGAAAACAGAGGCGGTGGGGCCTTAGCATGCCAGGGTGTAGATGGGCCATTTGAAAGCCGGAATTGCTTATGTGGTGGGTTGATCTGTTTCATCAGATTCTCATTTGGGGTTAGTGGCTTATGTTGGGATGTTTTTCATTTAGGTCACCTGTGTGAACAGAAAGTGAGAGGTTGTAGCACATTGCCACCAACCAGATCTCGGGTCATCTCAAATGATGGAGCCAGCCGCTTCTCTGGAGGCAGCCTCCTCACAAGTGGAAGCTCAAGGCGTGAGTTGACACTGTTGGGCCCATGTGCGGGTGGGTCATGAGTGGTGGCTGAGAGGTGGAAGACTGTGTGTATGTGTGTTTGTGTGTGTGTGCATGTGCACCATTCGTGGTGCTGACAATGCCCCTCTGCATCTAGGATGGCATTGTGCTGTCCATGTGCAGGTGGGTCGTGAGTGGCATGTGAGAGGTGGAAGGCTGCATCTGTGTGTGTGTGTGTGTGTGTGTGTGTATGCGCACGTGCACACGCCTGTGCATGTGCACCATTCATGATGCTCTTAACGCCCCTGTGCGTCTAGGGCAGGACTGTGCTGACCATGTGCAGCTTGGTGCCCTGGCTGGATGCCCCTGTGGACCTGCAGGCCCCACCGAGCCACCACATTGATCACACCCTGGTGCTCTAGGCTGGGCTCTGCAGGCGACTGTGCTGTTTGAAGTGGGAACCCTGCCAGGGGCATTTGTGTCTGGTTGTCTGCTCATCTGCAAGGGAAGAAGAAATGGAGAGAAGGTCAGGATGAACATAGACTGATTTTCAAAACAAGCTGAGGTCCCCCATGTTGTGAACGGAAGAGAGAAGCCAATTATGGAGCTTGGGAAAGACAGACCTCATTTTGAGAGAAAGACCTGGGTTAGGTGAAAATGTGTTTCACAGCAGGGAGGCTCTGAAGTTTTTCTCTCCCCTTAAAATTTAAGGCCTCACAGACTTGAATATGAAGTACTTATCATTTGAATTACAAGTGGGAAGTGCTCTTTAAGGAGCGTTTTTTCCAGAGGTTGCAGATCATTTTGTGTGAATTCAGAGCTGCTGTGCGCTTTTGTGTGTTGCTGGGCCTTGGAACTGTGGCTTGTTAGAGGTGGGAGGGGCCCTTGGGTTCCATCCTGCAATGTTCCCAGGAACTCTGGGTAAACTTGTACGTTCTCCCTGGGAGCAGACATGAGGGGCTCAGAGGGATTCATGATCCAGGCAGGGTAGAGTGTTCTGGGCCAGCTTCCTCATTGTAATTTTGAAGAAACTGAGATGAAGAGAGGTCAGGTGACTTGGCCAGTGCCGTGGCTAAGGGGTGAACTTGGCTTAGAATCTGGATTCCCTGCCCTGGGGTCAGTGCCCTTCATCCTCAGCTGGTCCTGCAGACCACCTAGAGTATGATGGAGAAGCAGCTCCATAGAGAGAAGTCCCTGAGCTCTAGGAGCCAGGCTGAGGTTATTGATAAAACCCTGCCTCCAGGCGCAGCAGGTCAAGGGCTCAGCTGTCAGGGAGCAGGAACCCAGGACTCGCTGAGACCATCGGAGGCCCTGAGGTCAGTGATCTTCCAGACCCTGTTATGCTCAGAACTGGCATAGGAGGTGTCCCTTAAAAGCACATGTCTCACCTATGGAGCAAGGTTCTGCAATTAGCAAGTTGCACGAAGTTTTAAGAAGGTTCTTAGTGCTTCATGCCTCACCCCAAGTGCAGTCTCATGGTCACTCTGTAACTTCATTTCTTGTTTCACTGGGACCATGAGAGGTATTTGTTGGGGTGATGCAATGTGAAGACTTGAGCTCATGATAAACCCCCACCTGCCCAGGCCCCAGGTCCCTCACTCACGGCTGTGGCTGCAGGTAGCTCAGATCAAGCCTGTGCCTGAGAGCCACTCGGGGCATCTGCAAAGCAGTTTACCGCCTTTATGGATGGTGGTGAGGGACCTGACAGTGGCACCTGTTTCCTTGTGAGGAGTCGGGGGTCACATTGCTGCCCACCGTGTGGAGGCTTCTGCAGGGGGTGCCAACGCCCCATACAAGTGGAACCAGGCGGGGAGAGCTCAGGCTGGCATTGGTTTCCTGTGGGAAGTTTCTACTGGTGCCAGAGAGTGAGGAAGGACCCAGGCCCTAAGCTGGGGCACCCCTCAGCTGCCCTGCCTGTGCTGGGCTGAGCGATTGTCTGGGAGTCTCATGTGTCAGCCTGTGGCATGGCCACATGGTCACCTAGCATAGTCCCACCCGACACCCTGAGCTCCTGCTCTGTGTCAGAAGGAAGGGCCTGGCCCATCCAGTAGTGGCTGAGCCTTTGCCTGCCAGTGCTTGACCCTGTTCAGCTTCTGTTGGTTTGCTAAATGAGTCATTGTATATCCCTGGTTTGAGTGGGGCCACCCCAAAGGAGACGGGCTGTCCTGGGGGCCAGGCAGTCCAGGGGCAGCTGGGGTGGAGTTGAGAGCAGGAACTTGGGGGCCAGGCCTGCTCTGAGCTTCATCCCTCACCACCTACTAGCTGAAGGCCTCCTGCCAAGGGGACAACCCCTTACCCCCATTCCTGATCCAAGGGACTGAGGCCGGCAGCCCTGGGTGAAGGCATTAGTGGGCCCTTTAAGATCCCGAGAGCGTGGGCTTCTAGAACATGGCCTCGTTCCCCTAGAAAACCCCCTGGTGGTGTGTTGACAGTGTTGGATCTAAGGACCAGAGTCAGAATTGCTTTTAATTTGGAGGCTGAGGAAAGGAGGGAATGCTGTGGAAACCAGGGTATAAAGTTATCATCTTTATCTGGACCTCAGAACTCTGCAGATTGGAGCTGCAAAAAGCATGAGCTGCGCTCTTGAGCTCCCTCCCTGCACAGGTGGTCCTGGGAGGCCTGCCCCCACGTCTGCTCCTGGAAGGCAGACACTGCACGTCCACCCGACTCCCCCTCTGACCCTTTCTCAGGAAAACACGTGGTGCAAGCGCAGAAGCTGGTGGACGTGGACAGTGAGCTGGCCGCCATGCTGCTGACCCATGCCCGGCAGGGCACGGGGCCCCGGGATGTTGGCCGTGAGTCGGATGCCACCCGCAGGCGTAAACTGGAGCGGATGAAGTCTGTGCGCCTGCAGGAGGCCGGGGGAGAGTTGGGCCGGCGCGGGACGAGCGTGTTGGTGAGGGTTTGTTCAGCTGTCACTGTCCCGGGGTCTCCACGCAGACCGAGTCACTGTACACATCTCTCCCTGCCTCCCTCGTGATTCTCTCTTACCTTCCTCCCAAGTCCTAGGGACACAATATAAGAAATCGGACTTTTTCAGCCACCGGGGGAAATCTTTAAGTGAGAATTATCTGGAGAGCTTTTACTAAAAGCCATTTCTTGGGCGTCAGCCCTGGAGATTCTGACACTGATTGGTTTGGGCAGGACCGCCGGAGCCTGGGTTTGAAGAAAGCTTTGCCTGTGAGTCTGAGGCTCTCCCAGGTCTGGGGACCAGAGCTGTGAACAGCTTACATATCCTGGGTTATCAGTGTAATCATTCTGGCTAGAAAAATTCCCCTTTTTGGCTGAAAATCTAAATAGAACTATTAATATTTTGCAACTAAGAAATGGGAGGTGAGAATGGTTGTACCTCCTGGGTGCATAGAAGTCAGGAACCACAGGGACCTCGAGAAAGGTCTCCTGAGACTCCCCTTTGCATGCAGGCAGGCCGGGGTCTGAACAGAGGTGTCCTTTCTCCTGACAGTAAACTCAGCAGGGCCATCACTCAGCCTCCCCGCCAGTGAGGCCTTGGTGCTCAAAGGTGGATGCAGATGCCTCGGTCCCTACCTAGGCTCAGTTCAGTCTGATGGGGTGAGGAACAGGCATGGTGAGAGGACACGGGGTGGGGAGGCCTGGCCTGAGCCTGCAGGACTGGTGGGCTCAGTGGTCAGGGAGGAGGGAGGGACTAGAGGGAGGCCAGGGGTAGGGCCAGGGCATGGCTGGGGCCTCCTCCCAGGCCTCAGAACACCCACCCCACCTCCCTCTCTCCCTTCCTCCCTCCTTCCCAGCTGGCAGGGCTTGAAGCTGTGGCCTCTGGAGGCCCCCAGCCTGGATAACCTTAGCTCTGTCAGCATGAGCTTGGAAGTGAGGAGCCACTCTCAGCCTTAGTCCTGTTTCTCATCCTAACTCATGTCTGGTCCCATTGTCCAGCACAGCCTGTCAGAGGTTCAACTCCTGAAAAGCTCTGATGATAAATTCTGATGGAGGCCCCAAGTGTGAAAGGCCCAGCTCCAATCCCCCTGGCAAAGGAAAAGCCAAAGCTTTGGATGTTGGAAAGTGAATGTCCAAAGTCATTTGAGTCAGAAATCAAATTTTGTCCTCACCTTTTGAGTTAAATCCTGAAAGCATTCAAGTCAGTCCATCTCTCTGACGCCTCAGCCTCCTCTGTTAGACAGAAGGTTCCCAGCGCCCGGCCGCAGCGGCTTCTTGGAGTAACTTAGGCTGGCCGACTCCCCGGCATGGGGGTGGCCCCTTCCAGGCCTGAGATCTTGCAAGGCAGCCTCTAGATGGCCTCACTTTTTCTTGTAAGGCCCACAAGAAAAACAAGCCAGTCTCCAACCTGTAGAACCCATGTGCGCTGGCCAAGCCCCTCGAGTCCCTGGGGCGTCAGAGCAAGGGGGTGGCTGAGCCTTGCTGAAGCAGCATGCTGCTTGCCCGGACTCTGACCCGGTGTGACCGAGACTCTGCAGGCCGGGGGCCTGTCCTCTCCTGTGGACTCTGGGCCCAGACAGGGCTCCTGACATTGTGTTGGGGACCTGGCTGGTGAGGCCTGTCACCATAGTTTTGAGGCCATTCTTTTCTCTTGTTTGAAACCACTGTTTCTAATTCTCCACTGGGCGGGGGGCCAGGCTTGCGGCTGTGAGGAGTCACTCCGGAGCAGGCAAGGGTGCTGTGTGGACCTCCGTGTCGGGGACACAGCCAGCAGATCTCTGTCCAGCATTGCCTGAGATCCACGCCTGGGCGTGGCCGGCCAGTTCCACCCAGACCACATGGTCAAGGAAGGGGGTGGCGGTGGCAATGCTGGTGGAGAAATGTCCTGTTCTGAGATCGCGGGTGGTGGGCGGCCAGCAATAGCCGCTCGTGGAGGAGAGTGTGCCTGGGACCCTGTCCGCCCATATCGTCTTGTCCGCAGGCCCAGCAGAGCGTCCGCACACAGCACTTGCGGGACCTACAGGTCATCGCCGCCTACCGGGAGCGCACAAAGGCCGAGAGCATCGCCAGCCTGCTGAGCCTGGCCATCACCACGGAGCACACGCTCCACGCCACACTGGGGGTCGCCGAGTTCTTTGAATTTGTGCTTAAGAACCCCCACAACACACAGCACACGGTGACCGTGGAGATTGACAACCCTGAGCTCAGGTGAGGTCTCAGCAACACCCATCCTGCCCCAGCCCAGATCTGTGTCGGGTGCAGCCGGCTCCCCTGCTGAGCTGGCTTGAATTCTGCCCGAGAGCCGAGGCGATTCGGCTCCTCTCTCCCACTCCTCTGAGCACTGCTGTCGGTGGGTGGGACACAGCCTCCTGTGGGCCTTCCTGGGAAGAACTGCCCTGACGCCTGGACACTGCCTTCCCCAGCGTCATCGTGGACAGTCAGGAGTGGAGGGACTTCAAGGGTGCTGCTGGCCTGCACACGCCGGTGGAGGAGGACATGTTCCACCTGCGCGGCAGCCTGGCCCCCCAGCTCTACCTGCGCCCCCACGAGACCGCCCACATCCCCTTCAAGTTCCAGAGCTTCTCTGCTGGGCAGCTGGCCATGGTGCAGGTGCGGGTGTCAGGCACACAAGGAAGTTGCATTTGGCTGATGACAGTGGGAAACTGAGAATGCTTCCAGTCTCCACCAGTGTCCCTCCCGTGCCTGTGGCAGATGGACTAGCCTTCGGGCTGCCATCCACTCCCCTTTGTGTTCAACAAGAGCCCTGGCACGTGCACTGCGAGTGGCAACCTGCCCCTTCTCTTTTCCAGCCTGATGGGTGTCGGGCTGGACCATCTCCTCCTAATTTTCTTTACTGGGTTGGTTGTTAGGGCTTCTTAAAGCCCAGTGAATCTAATGGATTGACATTTTCTAGCATCTTCTTTCCAGTTAATGTTGGTTGGTCGCTTCCGACTGCAGCACTGGCTGCTCTATGTCTATGCAAGATACAGCTTTGCTGGCATGTGTGCGTGGAGCATGAGTGTAGGGAGCATGCGTGCAGCAGGTGTATTTGCAAGGGGTATGTGTGCAGGGGGGGGATATGTGAGGCGTGTGTGCAGGAGGCATGTATGCGGGGTGTATGTGAGGCACGCGTGTAGGAGTGGTGCGTGTGGGGGTCTGTGTGAGGTGTGTGTGCAGGGGGTGGTGTGTGAGGCGTGCCTGCAGGGGGTATGTCATGCCTGGGTGTGTGAGGCAGGCATAGGGGCATGGAGTGTGTGTTTCAGCTTTTGACCTTTTGGGGTCAGCTCTCTAGGGTGATGGTCATTGCTTAAGGTGGACTTGAAATGTCCCTAGAGGCTCACTCACAGGGTTCCATGCTGGCTCTTGGGACGGGCTGTGAGGACAGCAGGTGGGACCTCAGGCCTTTGGCTTCAGGCAGAGCTGGGTTTCCACCTGGGATCTGCTGTTCCTTTGCTCCTGGCAGCCTCAGCCTTCTCTGGCACAGTGAGGCCGGTTGGTGATGGTTGCTGCCCGGAGAGTCAGTGTGAGAGGAGGCTGGTGGCTCCCAGCTGGGTGGCAGTGGTGTCTCTAAGCACAGGTGCTGGTCACCTAGTGGTGTCGCTCCCTGACCTGCTTGTGCTGATTGGTTCCTGCAGGCCTCTTCTGGGTTGAGCAACGAGAAGGGCACAGATGCCGTGTCACCTTGGAAGTCCAGCGCAGTGCCCGCTAAACACGCCAAGGTAAAGGGGCAACAGAGGACAGACTGATCTCAGGGCTTCCCAGGTATTCCCAGGGCCTAACCCTTATGTCCTTCTCTCCCCTCCTGGAGGGGAGGGCTGGGGCCAGGTCAGGGCAGGGGTGGTGTGGGCCTGGGAATGGCCTTCTCCATGTCTTCGCTGGGCAGGGGAGCTCCGTCTGGGCTCCGGCATAGCCTGCTTTGTGTCTGGTGGGAAATACCTCCTCGGTGGCCGCCTTCTCACAGCCAGGGCTCTCCGGGTGTGAAGCCGCAGTTCCTATGGTGGCTGCCACAGCCTGTGGCCACTCTGTGAGCCTCACACACAGCATTCCCTGGTGTGTGTGTGTGTGGTGTGGTTCTTCCTGGAAATAAGACTTAGACCTTGGTTATATCCCTTGCTAAGCGAAGGCCGTGTAGTAAGGCACCTGCTTCTCAGCAGCTGGCTGAGACATTCGCAGGAGGAGCTTGAGACGTTGCTGCTTTATGGCAGTTTCTGAAGGTTTTTCTTTATTTGGTAGAAACATGCCTTTTGTAGTAGTTGGGAAGTGAAAAACAAAATGAAAAAGCTTTGGTCTTTCCTACACCTTGCCTGGAGGACAGAATTCAGAGTTCAGCACAGTCCCGGCCTGAGGCTGTGGGGTCCCCGTGGCCCGGGTCTCACTGTGGTTACAGCCTGGCCCTCTGTGTCCAGCAGGCCCCATCACCAGTGAAAACTTGCTTTATTTTATTTAAATGCAGCCACAGCTTTGCCTTGATCTAAGGAATACTTCTGTTCTTTATTGAGTGCTCTAGGTTAATACCTTTTCCTTACATGTGTGGGAAGTCCCAGCCATCACATCCTGTTGCCAGAACTGTTGGGAGGAAGGTTTTCCTCTGCTAGCTTAGGTCTGAATGGCAAGGCCTGCAGGTGGATGACGGTAGACAGAGGGATGGGAGGAAAGATGGGCCTTACCGTCGCAAGCCTGTGACAGCATTGGGAAGTGAGTAGCTTGCCGAATGCCCAGAGGTCGAGGTTTGTGTGCCAATGTAGCATGAAGGGGCGAGGGCCAGGGCCTCCGTGGGAAGGCAGGGATGTTCTGTTGTCTCTTTGTGCTGTAGGCAAGGGCAGTCTGTGACCTTCCTGGAATTTGCAGGATGCTTTCACTTTCACATAGGGGGTTAATGGCAGCTGCATTTTCAGGAGTGTGCACTAGTCAGATAAGGGAAGTTCAGATAAAGATTTCAGGTGTTTTCACCTTAAAATAATCTTTATGTCAAAAATATGGTCTCTTCACATGAGTTTGGAGTTTGAAGGGAAATCCTAGGCATTGTGTTAGTTTACCCATAATTACTGCAGTGTGTATCTCGGACCGATGAGGACTTCTCTTTTTATCGTGACTGCATGCTGTCATCGCTGCCCCTGTCAAGGCGGATCTCGGCATCGTCTGCTGGGGCTCTAAGCACGGGCCTTTCTACAGCTGGTGTGTTTGGGTTGGGACCCGCTGGCCTGGGGTGCGCCACCTCTGGAGTTGCTCAGTGTGCAGGCCACGTCGTCCACGAAGGCCACCCACAGAGGCCATGCTGGCTGTCACCGTGCTCAGGTGCTGACGGCCTGTTGCTGTCACCCGCTTCTCCCTCATTCGCATCCAGCTGAGGCTCCTGGCCCACACGTGTTCCAACCAAGGTGAAATTAGAGTCTTGTCATTCTTCCTGTGATTTTCCTACAAACAAGGACTTTCCCCACCAGTGGTTTGGTTACCCTAAAGTATGCTTTGTACTTGAAAGTGAGGGTGAATGTTAGAATCATTCCCTTTATTTGTCAATTTTCAAGTAAGCGAGCTGCGTCCTAGCACCCTCCAGAGACAGTCCGTGTTTGTGGCGTCTCGTGATGGACACCTGGGCTTTATATTTGTGTTTCTCATTCCATGGAGGCTTCACTCTTAGATGCTGGAACTGCCCTCTCTCTGGCCACTGCCATCCTTTTCAGGTTAACTCCTGTGCCTTTTTTTTCGTTGTTATAAAAAGTAGTTATTTTGAAATAATGTAGAACTTAGGGAAAAGTTACAGTTAGAGTGCAGAGTCCCCACATGGGGTTTTCCCAGCCTTCCCAATCACCAGCCTTTGCCATGGTTGCCTCACTGTTCTCTGTTTATGCATTTTTCTCGAACAGTTTGAGAATAACTTATGAGGTAATGCCCTCTCCTCCATGACACTTTGAGCTGGGTTGTCTTGAAAATAAGGCCACTGTCCTCTACAGGCAAGGCAGAGCCATGAAAATTAGACACTCCTCTTCTGTCATCACAGGCCCCGTTCACATTCGCAGATGTCCCAGTACTTGATAGACGGCCCACCCAGCGGCCCCCAGCAGCCCGCTGCCCATGGAGTCCCTCTGGCGTGGCTATGGCTGTGGCTGTGGCTGTTCTGAAGGGCACAGGCGGTTATCCTGCAGGGTGTGCCCAGTGGGGTTGGTCTGGTGTTGGTTTCGGTTAGATCCAGATTCGGTTAGACCCGGGTTCGGTTAGACCCGGGTTCGGTTAGGCCTCGGTTCGGTTAGACCCGGGTGATGCACTTGGGACAGGGACTCCACAGACATTTGCTGTGTCCTCTCCGAACATCATACTGTGAGGGACACCATGTTGCTTTGTCCTGTTACTGGTGATGTTACTGTTTCCATTCAGTTACGATGGCATCTGCCATGCTTTTTTCCTGTAATATCAACTAAGAAATATTTGTGGCCGGGCGTGGTGGCTCAAGCCTGTAATCCCAGCACTTTGGGAGGCCGAGGCGGGTGGATCACGAGGTCAGGAGATCGAGACTATCCTGGCTAACATGGTGAAACCCCGTCTCTACTAAAAATACAAAAAACTAGCCGGGCGTGGTGGCGGGCGCCTGTAGTCCCAGCTACTTGGGAGGCTGAGGCAGGAGAATGGCGTGAACCCGGGAGGCGGAGCTTGCAGTGAGCCGAGATCACGCCACTGCACTCCAGCCTGGGAGCACAGCGAGACTCCGTCTCAAAAAAAAAAAACAAAAAAAAACAAAAAAAAAAAAACAAAAAAACTAGCCGGGTGAGGTGGCGGGTGCCTGTAGTCCCAGCTACTTGGCAGGCTGAGGCCGGAGAATGGTGTAAACCTGGGAGGCGGAGCTTGCAGTGAGCTGAGGTCCGGCCACTGCACTCCAGCCTGGGCGATAGAGCGAGACTCCATCTCAAAAAAAAAAAAAAAGAAATATTTGTGTCTAGTAATCAGAAAGTCATGAGTAAGTATCTTGTTGGGAGATACTGAGGCCATTCAAATACCCTCTTCTTCATCAGACTTTTACGCACTAGGTCTCAGTGTACACTGATGACCGCCCCGAGTTGGTAGTTAACGGGATGCTTGCCTGCCATGGATTTTCCAATTCCATTATTCCTTCTCTGTCGATTACTGGTATTTTAAGTAAGATAGGGCTGTGCCTTCACCCCATTCACGTATTTACTTCTTATAGCCTTATGAACAATGAATTTCTATTTTATTCATTTTGTTACTATTTATTTTGTTGCTCATATCCATGCTGTCCCTGACTAAGGAGGGCAGCCCCTTCAGGCCAGCTCCTGTGTCCTGTTGATTCACCCCTGTCCTCCTTTGAGTCTTTCCTTACTGCCCAGCACAGCAAGATGCCCCAGGCTCAGCTTGCATTTCAGGAATGTCAGCCATTTAACTAAGGTTCTTTTGGTTGGAGAATGACATTCAGAAACCAAGATTTGAGTGCTAGATGTACTCAGTGCTACTGGGATGTCACTGCTGCTAGTCCCTGTCAGCAGAGAGACCTAAGAGGTGTATGCCTGTATATACAGATACATAAATATATGTGCATATCATGCATATACAATGTATAGGTATGTGTGTGTGCATATGTATGTGTGTGTATGTGCATAGACTACTGTTTCTAGTGTGCTGAAGACCATGAATTTGCAGCAGTTCTTCCAACACCAGTTCAACATCACGGGTTTCTTCCTGCTGTCTTTTTTCCATGTTTGTAATTCCCATTTTTGCTCGTGAGAAACCTGGCTCCCATTTGGTTCACTATATTTAGTTATTTGCCTAATTTCCTCTGTATCTAACCAATCTGCTGACCACACTGGCCAAATCCCTTTGGCTACAATACCACTGGCCACACTGGCCATCTTTGTGTATGTGTATATTTCAAAACATCAGTACCAACCGGGGATAGACACTATCTGTCAGTGCAAGATGTCTGAAGGTGCATTTGTCCTTAGGTCCTTTGTATCCTGTGATTTAAATTTACTTAAAGAATTCTTCTCTGGGTAGTTACAGCACCAACTTGATAGAAGGTTAGATTTGTTTATTTTTAATACGTTGACACTTCTATTTATTTTAGTTTTCAAAATTAAAAACATTTAAGTCAAAAATCAAACTATAAAGCAAGATATATTTGGAAGGATATTTTCATTCCTGACCTGCCCCACTGTCTCCTTCTCGATGTGTGCAGGTGTGAAGTGTGTGCATGTGTGGGTGGTGTGTGCGTGCATGTGTGTGGATACATCCGTGTGTGTGCGTGTGTCGTGTGGATGCATGCATGTGTGGGTGGATGTGTGTGTGCTTATATGTGTGTGCATGTGTGTGGGTGCATGCATGTATGTGCATGTGTGGGTGCATGCATGCGTGTGTACATGTGGGCACGTGTGGGTGCGTGCATGTGGGTACGTGTGGGTGCATATGTGGGTGGATGTGTGTGTGGGCACATGCGTGTGTGCATATGTGCATGCATATATGTGCATGTGTGGGTGCATGTGTGCATGTGTGGGTGCATGCATGTGTGTGTGCATGTGTGTGAGTGCATGTCTGTGTGTGTGTGTGTATCTTAAAACAAACACAGCCTTTTTATCAGTTGTCCAAATTAATAATACTTTAGACAATATGGTTTTTAATGAGTAGCTCTTTTGAAACCAGAGAAGTTTCTATTTCTAACCGCTTTGGTTTAGGCACAGCCTCTTTTTGACTTCTGAAATCAAAAGAGCTTGTGCTGACGTGTTTGGCCACCAACTTGGCCCCACCACCACCCACCCCAGGACCTCCTGGCCTGACTTGCTCACCTGCACGCAGGGTGTTGGGAGGTGGAATCATGGCGGGAGTAGTTTTGACTTAGGACTGTAGACCTTCTCCGCTGGCATTTAAGAAGTGTGCCGTACTGGAGAGAAATAATGGCAATGTGGCTGCTTGGGTGCCCTGTGCTGGGTGCTGGTCCAGACCTTGCTTAGTGGTCCCCTCTGGGTGGGGACCTGCTGCTGCAGACTCAGTCTCTGCCTTTGATGATGCCTGACTTTCCCCCATCATGGCAGTGGAGGGTGAGTGGGTCGTGGTGACAGTGGAGATACCTGTGCTGTCTAAGGAGGGACGAGACGCTGCTCACGAGTCTCGTGCCCGTCCCAACGCTCAGCGTGGCCTCCTCACAGGTCTTGTTCCGAGCGAGTGGTGGCAAGCCCATCGCCGTGCTCTGCCTGACCGTGGAGCTGCAGCCCCACGTGGTGGACCAGGTCTTCCGCTTCTACCACCCGGAGCTCTCCTTTCTGAAGAAGGCCATCCGCCTGCCGCCCTGGCACACGCTTCCAGGCAGGTCCTGCACTGACCCTGCGGCCCACATGTTGCAGGCTCACCTGTTGGAAGTAGGCACCTCCTGAGGGTGACAGATCAGATGGCCTCATGGCTTCATGCCCTGGTGCTGTTAGAGCAGCACGTGGGGCCTGGGGAATTCTCTCTCCCTTTATGGTTTGAGACGGTGTCCCTCTTGCCAGCTCTGAGATGACTAGGTGCGCATTTGCTGGGTGAGTCCGCCCTTCTAAAAAATCCCAGCTCCGCGGCCCAGGTCCAGGTGTGCCTGGAGGAACACCTCCTCCTCACCTGATGGCCCGCGTGTTTCCGGTTGGCGCCCCTTACAGCAGAGTGCAGGCTTCCCTGCTCCAGGGAGCTGCGCTTTCCTGTTTGTGGCCCCTCGATTATTCCCTGCGGAGGTGGCTGCAGCCAAGCGGCAGTGGGCTGGACGGGGGTGTCTGCGCAGGGAACACGGTGCTCGGATGCTGTCCTGGGAAAGGTGGCGGCGTCCGGTTCGCCAGCAGGTGTCTTGCTGAGCACCTGTGATGAGCCTGTCCCGTCCTGTAGTGTGTAACACGTGGGGCCATCTCCACGCAGGCCGGAAATGTGGAGAGGACTCTTTGTGACATTTCCTCTGCTCCAGGTGCTCCGGTGGGAATGCTTGGTGAGGACCCCCCGGTCCACGTTCGCTGCAGCGACCCGAATGTCATCTGTGAGACCCAGAATGTGGTAGGTTTTGTTGTGGCCCCAGCCCAGGCAGATCCTTCCCAGCGAGTCTGCGCCCCCATCGTCTTCCCCGCGGGGTCTCCTGGGAGCCTCTTCGTTTTAGGTTTTCCGCTAAGTGGTTTCTTTTCCAAGGTACTAAAGGGCTATTTTGACATCTTTATGAGAGCTTTATGACCGTGTTTTTATTTTTTCTACTAGCAGATCAGCTCCTTGATCATCTGAATTTAAATTTTAAAAAGGCATGAAGCAAAGTGAATAAAGTGAATGGTAATTAAGGCACTTCATTAATTACCATTGTGTAAAGGATAAGGCAATAATTGTGTTATGACCAGTTAGGAAACTGGATAAAATCTCCTGTAGAATCTAATTATTGAGATCCTTGTAAAATCAGGAAGCTAATGATTTTGTCTTTGACAGTGAACAGAATGGTGAATTCTGACTGGTATAGAACATGAACAGATTCGTTCTGGGAGGGGCTGGCCCTCATTCTCTGCATGCACTAGTCACACAGATTTAGGGGCAGGTTGGGGTCGGCAGAGCTGGGCAGTGGGCTGTGTGCCCTGATTTGCTGCACATCTGGTTGGCAGGGCCCGGGGGAGCCGCGGGACGTGTTTCTGAAGGTAGCCAGTGGTCCGAGCCCGGAGATCAAAGACTTCTTTGTCATCATTTACTCGTAAGTGCACAGGCTTCGGGGACCCGGGGGCAGTGGCAGAGGAGAGGAGGAGGCAGGCCTGGGGCTACTGGTGGATTGAAAGTGGGCTTGGCCCCTTCCTAAACCTGGGGGAGCTGTTGGGCCTTCACTTTGTGAGGCGGGATTCTGCTGCGAGTTCCAGGGCCAGCAGGGGCCTGGGGAAGGCATCCTGGAGGGGCACCTGCAGCCTGAGTGACTTGGGACACAGCCTGTGCCCACCAAGGAAGGACACGAGTCAGCCTCTGTCTCCAGATAGTGCCAAGGGCTACCCAGAGGCCCCTGTTACCTTCTTCTTGCTGAGTCGCTAGGCCGAACAGCATGAATGAAGCTGTGGTCCCTCCTGTGGAGAGGGAGGACTGTGGTGGACTTGCCCGTCCCTCTCTCCTCCAGACTAAATGACCCGGTCCCTTTCCCGCCCCTCCTAAGTCGGATCCCCAAGTCCTGTGAGAATCCTTTCAAACTGCTGTGAGCTGGGAGATTTCCTGCAGTGCTTCTCAGGACAGGTCAGGGGCTTACCTGCACTGAGTGCCCACCAGAGGGTGAGGGGCCACGTGACCATGTCTCAGAGTGGCTTCCTTGTGAGCCCATGAAGATGCCTCACCCAGCCCCATTTTACTATGAAGCAGCAGGCTCTTAGCCCTGAAATGCTAACAAGGGCTTCCTTGCTCAGGCCGGCATGACCTCCAGCCCCCACCCTGTCTCCTGAGTGGCGCTGCCCTTGGCTTTGCCTCAGAACCCTGTTGGGGGTGGACACTTGTCCAGGATGTGTGTTTGGCTAAAGCGTGCCTTGTCATTTGTTTGACATGTGGTTCCTAAGCACCCTCGTGCCAGGTGGCATCCTGGGTGCAGACAAGTGGGGCCATCGGTCAGCCCTGCTGTGCCCTGAGAGCCTCTGCTGTGGGTGGGAGGGGGGCAGCTAGGGGCGGAGCCACCAGGCCCTGGCTCTGCCTCCTGGGGCCTGGTCCTCTGGGGCTTTCCCTGCGTGGCCTTCTGTCTGCCCACACTCCTGGCAGCCCTTGTTGGCCTCTCACGGGCTGGTGCTGAGTCTTCCGGGACAAGTGCAGATGGCTCCCGTCCCACTGCAGGGATCGCTGGCTGGCGACACCCACACAGACGTGGCAGGTTTACCTCCACTCCCTGCAGCGCGTGGATGTCTCCTGCGTCGCAGGCCAGCTGACCCGCCTGTCCCTTGTCCTTCGGGGGACGCAGACAGTGAGGAAAGTGAGAGCTTTCACTTCGCACCCCCAGGAGCTGAAGGTACGGCCTCTCTGGGGGCTGTTCTGAGCCTCTCCCCAACCCCAGCCTGGAGACGGGCAGTGGGGATTCAGCTGGAGCACAGTGGGTGGCCCTGACGGCAGCTTTTCCAGCACCTCCAGCGCTCAGACTCTGTTACCAGAGGCTTCCTGGCAGTCACCTTTCATTAGATGTGCCATTGTGGGGCGAGTGACGTACACACTAACCCCAAAAGCCAGTGTTCAGAATTCCTGCTAGGTTAACGGTGACAGGAGCCCTGGCGTTAGTGAAGCCACAGTTAGATGGGGTGGGAGGGCAGCCCCTGGTGCCACCAGCTGGCCAGGGTTTTAAGCCCCAGGATGGCTTCAGTTCTCTCTTTGTGGAGGCAGCGCTTAGGGAATAGTCACCATGTGGGAGGAGGGACTTGCCAGGTGCAGACCCGAGCCACGGCCACAGTGATGTCAGGGTTGGTTGTGGCCTCAGATTTGACTGCCCCTGAACCACCCATGACCTTGGGCTCCCCTGGCTGATTGGCTGGGAGCCCCTTGCTTGCTGCACACTGTGAGAGGCTCTGCCCTGACCCGCCTCTCTTGCTCTTGAAGACAGACCCCAAAGGTGTCTTCGTGTTGCCGCCTCGTGGGGTGCAGGACCTGCATGTTGGTGTGAGGCCCCTCAGGGCTGGCAGCCGCTTCGTCCACCTTAACCTAGTGGACGTGGATTGCCACCAGCTGGTGGCCTCCTGGCTCGTGTGCCTCTCCTGCCGCCAGCCGCTCATCTCCAAGGTCTGTATGTGTGGCAGGCACAGGCTGAGGGGATGGGGGCTCAATACCAGGGCACTGCAGGACCCCCACCTTGGCCCTGTGGCTCGGGCCACCTGGATACAGGGTTCTGACCCAGCAGGGCTGGGTGTGCGAGTGTTTGCTCCTGTGCTGTCTGTCTCCCCGATGGAAGCTCCAGAGAGCGTCTGTCTTATCTCTGTGGGGGTCTCCAGTGTCTGGGGCCGTGCACGGTGCACAGTAGACTCAGGGAATACCTGGAGGAAGGGCCAGTGGCTGTACCCGCGAGTGTCCACAGTGTCTCCCTGTCCCCTCCCTCCACAGGCCTTTGAGATCACGTTGGCTGTGGGCGAAGGGAAGGGTGTCAACAAGAGGATCACCTACACCAACCCCTACCCCTCCCGGAGGACGTTCCACCTGCACAGCGACCACCCGGAGCTGCTGCGGTTCAGGGAGGACTCCTTCCAGGTGTGGTGGGGCTGTGCGTGGGACTCCCAGGGGGAGCCCTGGGGACCTGAATGGAGGCAGTTAGGCTGCATTTAGGAGTGAGTTCTTCGAGTCACCAGCAGGCTTCCAAAAACCCCAGGGCGGTGACCGGTGCCATCCCATACTTGGGTGGGCCCGTTGTCTCTTTAGTAGCTGGAGATTTAGCGAAGTTTCTCCGGAGCGTGGGAAAGGGTGATGTGCCCAGGGCTTTTCATGGTAACGTTAGACAGCTCAGTCTGGAACATGAGTGTGGCTCCGGGTCCGAGTAACGCGTCACCCTGGCCGAGCACCGGTTCCCGTCCTTGTCCTGAGCACTGAAGTCAAAGGCAGACCTTGGACGCACCCCGCAGGGCTCCCCCGCCTTGTCAGCTCCCCTTGGAAATACACACGACCATGCAGAGAGGTTGCTGGTGAGAGTGTGGGACGGCCCGGGGGTGGACGCTGGGATTTGGATGCTTGTTTCCAGGTTGCGGGTGGAGAGACCCACACCATCGGCCTGCAGTTTGCGCCTAGTCAGAGAGTGGGGGAGGAGGAGATCCTGATCTACATCAATGACCATGAGGACAAGAACGAAGAGGCATTTTGCGTGAAGGTCATCTACCAGTGAGGGCTTGAGGGTGACATCCTTCCTGGGGCGCCTGGCTGGGGCCTGTCTGCCCCTCCTGCCCTGCAGGCCGTCCTCCCCGCCTCTCCGCAGCCTTTGACCTCAGGGCCCACCACTTGGCTGAGGAAGCAGAGAGCACGCGCTGGTCATTTTGCAGTACCTGCGTCCGGCTTAGCTGCTGCTGACACCCAGCAGGCCTGGGTTCCGTGAGCGTGAACTCCGTGGCGTGGCTCTGGTTCTGGTGCTGCCGTCTGCACACGTGGGACCCTCATTATCTCTGTTGCTCAAAATGTATTTTATGAATCATCCTAAATGATAAAATTATGTTTTTCTTACTGGATTTTGTACAAACATAATCTATTATTTGCTATGCAATATTTTATGCTGGTATTATATCTATTTTTTAAATTGTTGAACAAAATACTAAACTTTTACATGTCATCCCTTGGCAGTTTTCTTGAGTGTTGTCTGCTGGCGCAGTGTCAGAGGCTTCCTGTCTACAACACAAGCGCGGTTTCTCCTTGAGGAGACATGCTGGGGGCCAGTCAGGCAGCCCACGCCCTCTGTCCTCATGGAGAGGCTGCTCAAGCCTGCCCCGGGTGCGGGCCGAGACCCCGGCTCTGAGACGGCAGCAGTTGGGTGGAAGTACAAGGGGCGGAGGAGTGGAGGGTGGGCCACACCGAGCGGTGGGCTGCGGGCTGCGGGTCAGTACGAGGAGGGCTTGGGCCGGGCGCCCCCTCCTGCTACAGAAGCTGCCCCAGCGCTCTGATTGCGGGACCCCACATGCCTCAGGAAGGGATATGCTTAGAGCCATTGGTCCCACGGCCACATCCGTGGCAGACAGTAGGGTGGGAGTGAAGGGTGACCTCCGTGGGGACAGTCGATGCCGTGGGTGACCACGGCAGGAGACTTCTCAAGATCATGGTTAAGGAAATGGGTCCTCTGTGTTCCTAAAAGGTCTCCACACCCCACAGATGTGGGCGCGCGTGGGATAAAGGTGGCCCCTCCCTAAAGGTAGCAACCCCTTGTTGTCTGCCGTTTTCGGCGCGGGCCACATCGCTCACCTCCTGCGTCTGCCGCGAAGCTGCAGGAGGAGGTTGGGATTTTGAGTCTGTCGGGGAGGGCGCCGCCGCCTCTGCTTTCCCAGCTGCCTTCGTCTCCTCCACCGTGGCCAAGCTGAGGATGCCTCCTGGACTTCGCCTCAGCTCCCGCGCCTGAGGGGCTGGTGAACCCTAGACGGGAACATCCTGCTGGACGGGCAGAGCTCTGAGAAGGCGCTCACGCAGCCCCGGGTGCCTCCTAATGGTGCAGGGGTTCTGCAGGCCTCATCAGAGGCCTTGGGGAGGTGCGTGGGGCACTTTCACCTCCGTCCCCTCCACTTCTAGGTGGCCCGAGAACTGGCTGCCTCCCCCACCCCTGCAGAGAGACGCTGCCTGCTCTGAGGGGCCTGCTCTTCGTCACGTGGGTTTTCCCCCAGGAAGACCAGAGAGCAGCTGCTTTTCCTGGAGAGGCGGATCCCCCAAGTCCATTCGGTCCTTGCACAGCGGAGGGACCTGCGGTGCTCCCTGCCCGTGTCTGGTCTGTAAAGCAAGGACTCAGAAAGGCCTTTCAGCTGCTACGATGCCCCACAAGGCAACAGCAGAGAGCTGACCAAGCCTCCAGGGCTCCCACCTGTTCGAGGTGCTTCAGTAACACGGCCCCCACCCCAGCCTGCCGGGCTCTCACATCTGCGTTGTCACCCCCACAGCACAGGAGGAAACCACAGCGCCAGATGCAGGAGGTGCCCCCCAGCCTCAAGGAGCAGGCAGGCAGCGTGTGCCCTCCTGAGCAGGACCAGGCTGGCCTGTGGGCTGGAGGACACAGGGACATCCCTCGAGCCCACGACGAGAAAGCGGCCTGGCCTTTGGCGAGAGAGATGCCATCAGCCAGCGAGGCTCCATTTGCCACATGCTCCTCACACCCCTATTCAACCCGAGTGTGGACAGAGCACTCCCCTGGTCGGGGGAGACGGATGCTGCCCGCCCCAGGACCTGGCTTTCTCAGGGGCCCAGATGATCACACGGGGACCTGTTGCGGTCTGCCGGGCGGCACTGAGGGTCTGAGGGGAGCAGGGTGAGGGTATGAAGAGGGGCTTTAGTTCAAAGGAGGTCGGGCCTCTCCACATAGGAGGCAGTGGAGAGAGGACGGAGTGGCAGGGGCCCTGCAAAGGGGCAGCAGGGCAGGAGAGGCTGGAGAGGGGCCTGCAGGGCTGTGCCAGGGCAGGGGGTCATGTGGGCCAGGGGAGGAGCTGGTGGACTGGAGTGGACAGGTGCTGTGTCCCATGAGTCCCCCAGCCCTGATCCCGGCCCTCTGTCAGCATGGAGCCCTGTCCTTGTGGGGGGCGGCAATGCCGTGGCTGCCTCGCCTCCATCCCGCAGCCCCCACTCTCAGTGCTCGTGGCGCGTGTCCTCTTGCTGGCTCCCTGAGGCTGGGTTGAGGCCTGGGAAACCTCCACAGCTGTCCACCCCAGAGGGCTCCTTCCGCCCAGGGTGGGGTGGCCTGAGGGCTTGGGCCAGCCCATCAGGACCCCATGCCTTCCGCTGCTGGCCTGCAACCGGTTGTGATTCTGGGTGTCCCCTGGCCTTCCACTAGAAGAGGCATCTCGGGGAGGGGTCTCTTCTGCTGGGCACAAACCCCAGGTCGAGCCTGCTGCATGCTCTGGGTTGCAAAACACTGGCCTTGTCCCTTCCTTTATGAGCCCACAATGTCTTGTGCCAGAACCCGAGGTGTGGGTGGCGTGTTTACTCACTCCCGACTCCCCTCTTGCCAGTCGTAGGTCCGTCTCGGCAGAGCCGGGGTGCCCGTGAGGAAGCTGGGCCCTGCGGCACTTGCCCACGGGGACGGGGGTGCCTGGGACTCCCCGACGAGGGCGCCACGCTGAGCTGCTGCTATCTCCGTGCAAAGCCGCGTGCCTTTCAAAAGGCCTGTTATCATTCCCATCACGAGCATTTCTCAGCTGTGATTTCGTTTCTCCCGCCTGCTCCTCCCTCCTCCTGCCCCTGTTGAAAGCTACTTTTCACTAAATGGAGTCAAATGCAAGCCAGACGAGCTGCTTTGCATTTCTCATGTCTGATAATGATTTAATGCTATGTTTATCTATTTAGAAATAAGGCGCTTTTTAAAATTCTTGCCTCAGGTTCTAAGAGGGTGGGGAAACAGCCATTATTGCTTCCCTGATGGCCGCTTTTCCCCTGTGGACGGAGGCGCTGCAGCTCTCACCCCAGCAACCTCGGGTAGCACTTACCGGGAGGTGCGCTGAGGCCTTGACAGAGAAAGAGACAGAGGGCTCAGGAGCAGCCAGTGACCTGCCCACGGGAGGTACTCAGGTGGGTCTCTGTCTCGCACAGCCTGAGCACAGTGGGGTCTCCCTGGCCCTGTGCAGGACACCGCCCTACAGACAGGAAATGAAGAATGTAGACCCTGCCTGCCTGGAGGGTGCTGGCGCTCCACCTGCCGCACTCTGCTGGTGATGACGGGCCCCACTGGCTCTTCTGACCCAAGCCAAAGCCACGCCTGAGCGGGTCCACAGGAGGCTGTGCAGGGCCCGGGAGCTTCTCTGCAGGTCGGGCAGATTCACCTCGCGCCAGGCCCCTGGGTTTCAACGCTGCCCCTCACCTCTCCTAGGGGGGCCTGGGAAGACCCCTGCCGGATGGAGAATGGATGACTGAGGAACAGTCACCCCAACTTCAGGGGGTGAATACCGTCCCTGAAGAACTCAGTACTCTCAGCACCTCAGAATCTGGCTGTTTGGGAAGAAGGTCGGTCTTTGCGGATGTAATGAAACGAGGGCGTGAGATGAAGTCGTGTTGATTGGGGTGACCCTAAGCCCAGGGAGAGTGTCCTCGTGAGACAGAAAGGGACACGTAGGGATGGTTCCGTGGCGACAGAGGCGGAGGCTGGAGAGAGCCACAAGCCAGGGATTGCCAGAGCCACCGAAGCTGGAGACCCTGGGACAGATTCTCCCTCCGAGCCTCCAGAGGGAACCCGCCCTGCCCTTGATCTCAGCCGTCTGGCTCCCAGGCTGTGGGATAATAACTTCCTGTTGCTTTGAGTCACCAAGTTTGCAGCAGTTGTTTACGGCAGCCTCAGGAAGTGAACATAGGAGTCGTGGGATCTCCCTGGAGGTCTTAAATAGTCCCGTAACTAGCAAATCAGTGTCCCTAGTCCTGGGGAGAGAAGGGCTGGTGTAAGTCTAAGGAGTGACCCCATCAACAGAGTGACCTTCTGTGCATGTAGAGAAGCCCTTGGGTGGCTGTCCTCAGCCACGAAGGAGCGCGTCATCCTGGCTGGTCAGCCATCCTGAATTGAGTAGGGACTCCAGGTTCTCAAACTTTATCACAAGAATTCAACCTTGAAATAGCCACGCACCAATGTGGGTTTCTCCTGGAGGCAGAACCTCTAGGTGGGTGCTGTACCCACATTTAAGGGAAAGAAGTCAACAGCCCCTGCGTGTGTGACTCACGTGGACCCAGGTTCTGGAGAGCTTGAGGGAAGGAGTGTGGTCTCCAAGGCCATGTGGGGCCCTGGTACTGGGGTCAGTGCTGTCCACGCTACCTTCCTGGGCCACTCTGGGCTTCGCTTGCCCTCACGCCACCCTCTGGTCCAGCGCTCACGGCAGCTGCTGTGACTGTCAGGAAACACAGACCTGATCCTGTCGCCTCCTTTGCATAAACCTTTCAGAGGGTAGGATGCAGGCAAGGTTCCTCTCTGGGGCCTGCAGGCCCGTCCTCCCCTGGCTCCTTCCCACCCTTTCTCACCATTCACGCCATGCTCAGGGCGCAGGACTGGGATGCTTCCTGCTTCTGAAGCCTCTCTGTGCCTCGGTCTCCTCCATGAAGGTGCATTGAGCTGACCAGGTAAGAGCTGGGTGCAGCAGGTCCCATGTGGTGTGCTGCAGGACTGTCCCTGATCATCTGCTGCTCCTCCTGCTTGATGCCATCTGACTGGCAGTGTTGCCATGGGACGGGTGTCTTCCACCCGTGGCTTGCTGGCATGGCTGGCCGTGTCAGGAGCTGAGTGATGTGGGGCCCTGTGCACGCAGGCCCTGAGGAAGCACCAGACTCCCCTATGCTCTCCTCTGTGGGGAAGAGTGGTGATATGGTCTGGCTGTGTCCCCACCCAAATCTCATCTTGAATTGTTACTCCCACAATTCTCCCCTGTCGTGGGAGGAACCTGGTGGGAGGTGATTGAATTATGGGGGTGAGTCTGTCCTGCACTGTTCTCATGATAGGGAATGAGTCTCTCGAAATCTCATGGTTTAAATATGGGAGTTTCCCTGCACAAGCTCGCTCTCTCTTTGCCTGCTGCCATCCATGTAAGACGTGACTTGCTCCTCTTTGCCTTCCATCATAATTGTGAGGCCTCCCCAGCCATGTGGAACCGTAAATCCATTAAATCTCTTCCTTTTGTAAATTGCCCAGTCTTGGGTATGTCTTTATCAGTAGCGTGAAAATGGACTAATACAGGGGGCTCTCCCATCCTTTCCCCTCTCCCTCAGGAGTCTCTGAAACCCATGAAATCATGCAGAATTCTGTGTGCAGAGGAATTTTCATGGAGGGAGGATCCGTAGCCTTCCCCAGACTCTCAAGGCTTAGGACCTGCAAAAGGGTGAGATTTCGAGGGAAGACATCTCTGCTCAGAGCTGGGCACTTGTGCAGCCTAGGCGAGTACAGTTTCAGCAAGATGCTCCCGGTTGCTGAACAGGCTGGAGAGCTGGCCATGTGGGCTCATCTGGGCCATCCTTGATCCTGCTGGGGATTTGCACACCATGCTCAGCAAAAATGCACCTCGGTGATCAGCCTCCTGGTGGTCTGCACCTGCTGCTGTCTTTGGAGGTTTTGCCATGGCTCCTGACTGTCGCCTGCCATGCCCCCAACCCATGGCAACCACAGCACCCTGTGAACACACCAGTCCCAGCAGGACCTCCAGTGGCTCCTGCGTCATTCTGCTGGAGTCCATGGGATGGCCCCAGGCCCCAGCCACCTCCCCTCTGCTGACTCCTCCCTTGGTCTGTGGCTCTGGCCTCGTGTATCCTTACTCATCAAGTGTGTCCAGCAGGCTGCACCTCGGGGCATTTACACGTGCCTTTCCCTCTGCCTGGAATGCTCTTCCCCCAGGTAGTCACGTGGCTCACTCCCGTCCTCAGTGGGGAAGGAGCTCAGAATGCCCTTCCATCTGAGTGGCCTTCCCTGCATCCCACCCCCCAAATCACCCTCCCCGGGACCACTGTTCTCCACAGCACCTCTCAGCTCCTTCATGTCTGTCCACCTGCACCCCATGGAGTTTGTCTTTGTTCCCTGCCAGGGGCTCTCCAAGAATATTCCTGGAAGAACTGAATGTTGCCAGATTAGCTGCTCCCATGCCTGGAGTCCTCTGCTGCCTGACAGCCCACGAATCCCTTCCCATCAGCCAGCCTCAGCTGCCACCAGCCTCCTCCGCCAGCCCATGCAGGCCACTCCTAGCCAGAGCGAGGGTCTTCTCTGCACTCTGCCTGGAATCGCCTGCATGACTTGCTCTTCCTTCTGTGGTGGTGTCTCCTAGAGAGCCTGTCGGGCACCTGGCTAAAGGGAGACATTTCCCGGAATAAGTCCTGAATGTGGCTGTGGTGTTTTACGGCATCTCCCATCAGGGTGGGGTCTGTGTTACTCCTTGGGCTAGCTGTCTTTGATGACTAGGATGTGGTGGGGGTGGCATGGTGCCCTGCCTGGGCTTGGCTCACTCTGCCTGCTGCTCTGTCCTTGAGCTATCAGGACCCCGAGGCCACCATGGGGATAAGCCCACAAGAACCTGCCAGGGGATGAGAGACCATGTGGTTGGAGTCCCAGGTGACCTGGCCGTCCCCTCAGCCCATATCAGCCCCTGCAGATTGTAGATGCATGAGGGGCCCAGCCACCATTGCCACATCCTGTCTCCATTTCCACATCCTGTCTCCATTGCCACATCCTGTCTTGGGCCAAAAGAACCGCCCTGCTGAGCCCAGCCCAGATGCCAACCCACAGAGCCGTGAGCTAAATGAATGGCTCAGTGTTGTGAGCCACTGGGATCTGGGGTAATGACACAGCAAGAGCTACTGCTGCCCCAGCCTCAGGTAGCTCACACTGCCTTCTATTGCTCTAAACTCAATTCACGTTGATTTGCTTACCTGCTCACTATCTGTCTTCACCATTAGAATATCAGATTCAAGAGGACATGATCTTTGTCACCACTGAATCTGAACAATACTAGGGTCTAAACAAATAATAAGAGTTCACATTTATTAAGGATTTACAATACACCAAACTTTGCTCTGTTAGTGATTTAATATTTTAATCTCTAGTGGCAATAAATGGGTCAACCCGTTTATTAAGTAGGTACTTGTATTAGTTTGTTGTCGCATTGCTATAAAGAACTACCGGAGACTGGTAATTTATAAAGAAAAGAGGTTTAATTGCCTCATGGTTCTACAGGCTGTACAGGATGCATGGCTGGAAGGCCTCAGGAAACTTACAATCATGGTGGAAGATGATGGGGAAGCCACTGGCACGCCTTACTGGCTGGAGCTGGAGAAAGAGGGTGAAGGGAGAGGTGCTACACACTTTGAAACAGCCAGATCTCCTGAGAACTCACTATCACGAGAACAACAAGGGGTAAATCCGCCCCATGATGCCATCACCTCCTACCAGGTCCCTCCTTCAACACTGGGGATTACAATTTGACACAAGAGTTAGGCGGGGACGTAGATCCAAACCGTATCAGCACTTACTAGGTGTGAAGTTGAATGGATGCATGCATGCATGCATGCATGAATGTGCTTCTCCCTGGCCAGGCTGATGCCTTCCTGAAGGTTCCACTGCCCTTTGGGAGTGGCAGGGACTCTGTGCCCTTCCCACAGCAAAAACTGGACTTTTAGCAACTTCAACTAGTGAACAGCTCGAGCCATTTGACATTGGCCAGGAGACCTGAAATTGGGGGCCCCTGCAGAGGCTTCCAGTCTGATCCTCTAAGCCGAGCAGAAATGTTCACTGTCTCCCTAGGAAGGAAGCCTGCAGAAGTTCCCTGTAGGGTGGAAGGGGGCCAGGACCAGTGGTCATTCAAAATTACTGTCTCAGTTCTATCTCAGAATCTTCTAGTAACCTTGGTGGGGGGGGGGCACTCCTGCAGTTCTCCTGATTAGATGTGGAATAATTGTTTTCACAATTAGAATGTTTCTCTTCTGAGGTCATCAGATTTTTTTTTATGGAGACAAAAGCATAACTAGCTGAGTACCTCTCTGGAATGCCAGTAACCGTGGGGATGGCCTGGGGTCGCTGAGCCCCAGGAAGCTGCTGCTGTCATCCTGAGGTGCTGAGGCCAGGTAGAGTCCAACCCTGCAGGGCCTAGCTCCCGGCCGGGCCAGCTCTACTTCTCTGACAAGGTCGTCCCTCAGGGAGACTCATTCAAGCCAGCCATGGAGCGTCAGTCATCTCCTGCCGGCCACATCGTGCTCATGTGTAATTTTAGAAATATGGATTCTTACATGTTTGTTCTTGCTAAACTAAGCGTTCGTTTTGATCTTTTCGTCATCCCCCAGTCAGTACATGGCTCTGACACTGAAGCAAAATGCTGGTGCTTTTGGCTTCTGGAGGGGCGTGTGGCATTGGTGCAGGTCAGCACGGGACCAGATACCCACGGCTGGATTCCAGAGCCCATGACTGGCTCCGGGCCCTGGGCTTCCTGCCTCCCGTGGCCCAGAGACCTGGGGGCCTTGGGAAGAGGGAGGCTTGGAAGTAAATGCATGGGAAAGGGTGGGACCTGTGCAGCCCGGGCTTCTGTGGCGGGGCTGGGGACAGAGCTCATTTCTCTCCTGGGTGCTCATACCCTGCGGCGAGGCCATCCACAGACACAGAAATGAGGATGATCCCAGAAAGCCATGAAGTCGACAGCACTGAGCCCCCACCCCCACCTCGTTATCAACTGTTGGCGACGGCAGCATGACCTGCGGGGGTCGCCACCGCACACCCTCCTCTCTGAGCATGTCCCTGCTTACTCGGACATGCCAAGGAGGGATTAGTTCGGGTCAACAATTTAAACAAATATTTAGGCTTGCCTCTACCCTGGCTGATTAATTCAGTTAGTTGGTCATCTGTCAGTGAGCGTCACACCAGTTAGCCTAGGCATCAGTTATTTTAGATCAACTTTATTTTTAAAAGGAAGAAATGAGATTATTTTTAAAGAATGATTTTTTTTTAATAGTGAAGAAAGTGAGCATGCATGATTGTCCTTAGGGTCAGTCAGCCCTTGCCATGTGAATGCCTCTGTGTGTGTGTGTGTGAGTGCGTGTCAGTGTGTGAGAATGCGTGAGTGTACATTTGTGTGTGTGTATCAGTGTGTGAGAATGCGTGAGTGTACATTTGTGTGTGTGTATCAGTGCGTGAGAATGCGTGAGTGTGCATTTATGTGTGGGTGTGGGTGTGTGTGTCAGTGTGTGAGAATGCATGTGTACATATGTGTGTGGGGGTGTGGGTGTTGACATCACACTTGTCTCGGTGTGTTTCAGTCTCCCTAGTTCTCCTTGGATCCATTCCTGTGTGTCTGCAGCTCAGCCTCTTCTAGAAGTTTCCTGGAAGCAAGTTTGCCCTGTTAGGAAAACTGTGGAATCTATGCAAATGCAGGAAGTGTCTTTTCTTTGCCCAAGTTAAGGGAAAGGCTCAGGAATTCAGCATTTGAAGGGGTAAATCTGCCCAGAAGCAGATTATTTGGAAGACGGGTCAGAAGCATAAGTGGGGACCAGGGGTGGAGGGAAGGGAGTACGTGGAGGGCATGTCTTCAGGCTGCTTCTGCTCTTGGCAATGGCTCTGTCTCATCCCTGGGAGCTCCGGGCACTGTGGATACCGCAGTGGGCCCCTGAGGATGAGGAGGCTGGGTCTCATCCTCCAGCTCACTCTAACTGGCTGCTCCTGGAGATGTCCTCTGCCCTCCTGCTCCCTGGATGCTGCTGGCCTTCGTGCAGGCTGGAGAACCCTGGATGGTGAGGGGAGGCTTTCCCGGTGGGATGCTCTCCTGGACCGAAAGAGTGTGCCGCGGAGGTTTGGAAAGGGAACTGACAGGGTCTGCTGTGGTCTTTCTGTTTCCTTTTAACTTACGACTAGAGCAGGAGAACCAGGGGCCTGGATAGCCATGCCCGGGAGGGACCTTCCAGCGAGTCTCATGACCTGCAGGCCACCGTTGCTAGTGGGCTCCATCTCTGGGGCTGCAGAGGCGGCGCTCAGACCACCCTCAGCCACGGCTCCTTCACACAAGTGACAGTGACAGAAGCTCCTCCAAGCCTCTGACATGCAGTGTGTGGCCGGAAGCAGTGCCAGGCAGGCTTGATGGGCAAGTCTGGGGCCCCCGTCATTGAGCTTGGCTGTTTCCCAGACACACCAATTCCTTCCCAAGCACATTGAGTAATTAAAGCAGAGACTGAGCCTTTGGACAAGGTTGGTGAATCAGAACTCCATGCAGCTCTGCAACTCTCAGCAATCTCAAAAGTGCTGCTGGCCGAGCACCCAGGACCTGGATCCTGATAGATGCTCAATTGATATTTGTCAAAGGACTGTTGCTGGAACAAATCCTTCCATCTTCTGTGGCTGTTGTTTCATTCAGTGTCTTAGTCTGTTGGGCTGCTGTGACAGAATATCTTAGACTGGGTAATTTATAAACAACATACATTTATTGCTCACAGTTTGGAAGCTGGGAAGTCAAAAACCAGGGTGCCAGCAGACTCGGTGTCAGGGGAGGGCTCACAGCTGGTGGCTTCTGGCCATGCTCTCATGTGGTAGAACAGGCAAGGCACTCTCTGGGGCCTCTTTATTTTTTAACTGTTATTTTTCTTTAGAGACAGTCTTGCTCTGTTGCCCAGGCTGGAGTGCAGTGGTGCAATCATAAGTCACTGCAGCCTCTACCTCCTGGGCTCAAGCAATCCTCCTGCCTCAGCCTCCTGAGTAGCTGGGACCACAGGCATGTACCACCACGCCTGGCTAATTTTTGTATTTTTTTAGATACAAAATTTACAAAACGGAGTTTCATCATGTTACCCAGGCTGGTCTTGAACTCCTGAGCTCAAGTGAGCTGTCTGCCTTGGCCTCCCCAAGTGCTGGGATTATAGGCCTGAGCCACTGCTCCTGGCCTGGGGCCTCTTTTATGAGGGCACTCATCCCATTCACGAGGGCAGAGCCTTTGTGACCTATTCACCTCCGAAGGCTCCCACTTCTACCACCACCCCGGAGATGAGGTCTCAGCACAGAAATCCTGGGGGGACCCAGGCATGCAGACCGCAGCATTCCATTTCCTTCCCAGTGCCTCCTCAGGCCGCTTCTACCCTGCAATCCGCACCTGGCTGAGAGGCCTTGGCGTTCATTTCCCAGTGGCCCCCAAGCAGCAGCATCAGGCGACACAAACACCCACTCTCCTGTTGGCTGCCTGGCTGCAGACGACGGCGCTCTCCATGGTGCTGATCAGGAGCTCTGCGTTTCACCGAAGCTCCGCTGAAGAGTCTTCCGCCCCCTGCCCAGCACTGTTTCTCAAGGACTTTCTCCGCAAACCAGCTCCGGGGTGAGAGGCGGGAGTCGCCTTTGTCCTGATGTCTGTTCCTAGTCTGGGTTCTGGGAGAGCTGGAGAGACGGTTTCTGGATTAAGCAAGGCTGATTTTGGGTCACGAGGAAAGGGGGCAATGCAGCCAGTGGCGGCTGTGCTGTGGGCAGCGCTGGGCGTGGGGTGGCTTGACCAGACTCTGGGGCTTAGCAGTGGAGGGTGAGGCTGGCAGAGAAGCCCAGTGTGCTGCAGGGCTCTGCAGGGGCTGAGGCAGCTCTGTGTGTAAATGAGGCCTGGAGATTCCGGGACCACAGCAATGAGATCTGTTGTTTGCTAAGCTCCTGCTCTGTACCAGGCATGGTCCGAGGCACTTTTCAGATATTACTTCGTCTACTTTCTTCAGCAACTGTGCAGGGGAGGTGCCTCAGTGCTCATTTTTCAGGCGAAGGAGAGAAGCTTATTAAGGTTAAGTAGCATTGGGGTGGCACAGCTAAGAGGTGCTGAGCTGGGAGCCCGGGAGCTCTCCACGATGCCAGGCCACCTCGGGATTAGTTTGGTCTTAGCCTCTTCCCCATGCACACTACTCTAGGGGCACTGTTTACAGCAGATGCGCAACCTAGACAACTGTACTTGGCAGCCCTGACTTCCCAGTTTCTAGTCCCAGGAATCTACGCAGATGCAGGAAGTGTCTTTTCTTTGCCCAAGTTAAGGGAAAGGCTCAGGAATTCAGCATTTGAAGGGGTAAGCCA